AGGAAGACCATTTGCTGAAATCTTGGAGCTCAGTCAGCATGTGGAGAACACTGAGCTAAATGGACCAAAGATCTGACTTCCATTTCATCCTTGCTGCAGCCACAAATCAGGAAACAGTTTGCTATTAAATGTGCTGTGCAGCCCGGTATTATACACATTTATGAAGATTCCCACTGAGTTAAATGGGGCTTACTTCTCCCCCAGCACACACATGCACAGCTAAGTGTCAGGACTGAAGTTTAGTGTAATCAATCTGATGTCAGATCAGCATCTTAATCTTTCTGCCTTGTCCTTGGCGCAAGTAAACACCAGGCAATTAAGAAGAAAAAGACATCATGGCCTGTATCCAGCATTCTTTGTCCACTAGTGCAAAAGTTCTTGCATTAGGGGACGGGTGAGTTTTCATGCTGGTGGGTTTTGCTGGCTGCATCTCTTGTCCCTTATTAATTGTCTTAAGAAACTTTGCATAGAGGGGCCCAAAATGCAGTGCTGGGGAGCCACTAGCCGGCCAGCCACCACCTTAATTTGCTCAGAGGCCCAAATTTGTATCTATACATATAAATAAGCATGCACAAATTTTATACAAATTTGTGGCATAGTCTAGTGCCCCAGGTCTTTTAATAACCAAGCAATGCCCCTGGTTCTTAGGACTGTAGCCTCAAATCCCTTTTAGCTGTTCAGCACTAATTAAGGTCAGGTTGTCAAGTAAGCATGCCATCAGCTAATGGGAATAGGTTGCAAACTGGCCAAACTGCCAATCCCTTTCCTAGAACGATGCCACATTAAATTAAATCCCCCGGGCTCCTTCTACAACCTATTTTCATCGTGGATTTATAGCAGGTGCACAAAAGAGGGAGAGATTTTGAAATTTTGTTTGAGGGGGGGTTAATATCCACAAGTGACCACGCATCGCAAGCAATTGGGAAATGAATGTTGGGCCTGAGAACTTCCATTCTTTGGGAACATGTTTTCTTCTCATGGTTCTGAGTGTCTTATTAGACTGGAAGGCTGATTCGGTAACATTAAATACTTGGTGGGTTCTGCTGGCTGGGAAAGTGTGTTTTCAGGAGTGGATCCAACTTTTCCGCGATGTACCTTGAATCTGAACAGAAAGCTGTTGGTGTAGGGTCCTCTCCCTTGCTCTGGACAAAGAGTGACTATCTTGTTTTTATCCACGCAGTTACTTGCAAACCACAGCAAGCTTATGTTACAGGCTGCTTAAACTAGAGCTGTGTGCAAATAGCTTCTCAAGATCCTCCATCCTATTTTCATCTGACAAAAGTGGGCTTCAGTCCATGAAAGTTTAAGCCGTAATAAATTGGCTAGCCTTTGAGGTGCAATAGGACTCTTTGTTTAAGTTTTAAATTCCTGCGAAACATCAAACTGCATGAACTGAAACGAAAATAGCTTGACTAATTTTCTCTAGCCAGTGTAACTGAGCGGTTGGCAGATCCAACACAGTGTTATATGAACGTACCATCAGGGCAAGGATTTCTGCATGAGCAGCATAGAAGCCAACTCCAGGGGGCCGTGGGGGCCTGAGCACCCACAATAATACAATTGTGGGGGCTGGGCACCCATAAAGTCAGTGAGGAAAGCAGGCAGGTGGCAGTGGCCCTGTCTCCGAGAGAGAAGCAGTTCAGCTCCATCGTCCACAAACAGACAGACAGGTATCCTTTTTGGGGGGGGGGGCGATGCTTGGATACAGAAGTAGACTCTCTCTGCCTCCGTGTCCAAGTCCCTCCCTGCAGAAAAGGGTGCTTCGCTGGCAATGGAGAGGAGGAAGAAGAGGTGCCACTGTCACCGCTGCAGCACAGACATGCAATGTTACATGCACACACCTGCACGTAGTGTGTGTACATGCAGGCATGTGCTTGTGATGTCACGTCTGCGTTGCGGCAGTGGGCACCCACAACTCTGAGGGTGAGATGGCACCCCTGACGAGCAGCGGAACATTCTTCCCTTCCCCGAACACAGCACCAAAATCTGTCCCAGGGGTTTCCCAAACTCTCGGGAGCAGATTTGGGGAGGATATAGGTTGCATGTGGGGAGGGGGGGGGAAGTCTCATTGCACACGTAAAAATCCTTGCACTGATGACATGTGTTAGTTGAATACTGCCCAGGACTTCCATTCATATTGAGCTGAACTGGTCAAAACTTTGACCATGGTCAGTTGCATCATTGGCATATGAGAGATTCGGCTTATAGGTGCAGTAACATTACTGTAAGCTTAGAGAACTGGCCTCTTTCATAGGGCTCATTTGACACACGGACTGTCATCTGACTTTGTTTGTTTCCCCGAGAATGTAATTATAACTCGTGCTGTGTGTAAAATCAGCCCAAGCAACGTCCTTGGCAGAGGAGCCACTTGGCATTGCTAGAGAAAAACCTTGCTTCCAGGGGAGATATAGGCATTTCAATTTCCAGTTTCTGGGTTTCTGTTTTGGCAGGGATCTTCAAACCAGTTATTCTGGACCAGAGCCATCAAAGTCAGTGGGACAGCCCCAGCATTGCGGGACCGTAGCTTTGAATTCCTTGCAGTGCACTGAAGCGGAGAAATCTATCTCTGCGACCTCAGGGGCTGCTTTGTACATACTTCAATCCTTCCCCACTGACGTGGAGCCTTCGTCTCCAGGGTGGGGTATCAGTATAATGGATTAGTGGTGCCTGCTATCTTCTTCATCACCAGCGTCATCACCTGTCTTCATATATAAATCAGTATTGCAGATCATGGTCTTCTGTTATTCTGAGCAGTTTCTGTGAGAACCCATTTACACTAGTGTAATCCTTTTTAAGCTAGCGAAGCTTCACCAACGTACGTGGCCATTGAACCAGACTGTGCTATTAAACCGTGCCAAAATTAGCCTTTATGTTTGTGGCTGGTGGGGTGTTGTGTTTTGCTGAAGAAAGAGGCAGCTAGGTGGTATATTGGACCTAGGCTCACAATAGCGTTATCTTGGCATTATCCTGCGGTCCTGGTGCCCTCCACAAAGAAACGAATGAAGGAGGTAGAGAAATGTTGGCTCAGCCTTCCCAAGGAGAGCAGGGAAAATAGCATCGCCTGTCAAATGGAAAGGGATGAAAACAGCAGGGAGAGGAATTACATCTCCAGGCTTTCAGAAGACGATTGCAATCAAACGAAAGTGTGTAGCGTTTGACAGTTTCCCTTTTAAAATGGCTCAATTAAGGAAGAATCTGGAAAGATCTCTGGATGCCTCTCCTGTAATTAGAGATGTTATTACACCCCCCACCCCACCCCCACTGAACATTAGGCTTGTCATCTTGAGTTCTGAAGGGCCAGCTGCAATGGAGGGAGTCCAAAGGATGCTTGACATGAGTGGGAGCCGATAGGTGCTGAGATGAGGAGGTGATGTAGGGAGGGGTGCCTTGGGACAATAGGATGCATTGTTACTGGAGGAGTGTGTTTTCCATCTTCAACTACCTTAAAAATATATATTGGACATTCCTCTATCGCAAGGATGGACAACCTGTGGCCCTCCAGATGTTGTTGGACTCCAACCCCCATCAGCCCCCAGCCAACATGGTCAATGGTCAGGGATGGTGGGAGCTGTAGTCCAACCAAATATCTAGAGTGCCACAGGTTTCCTATTCTTGCGCTAGGGAATACTCCAGCATGCTACCATGTACCTTCCCCAAAGATTTATGGTAAGGTGCTAATTTCCTAGCAATCTGCTTTTTACTAGGTCAGAATACTGGTCCATCTGTGTATTCTGATTGACAGCAGCTCTCTAAGATCTCAAGGCAGAAATCTTTCTCATCATCTGCCTCCTGTTCATTGTATTTGAAGTGTTAAGGACTGACCATGGAGCCTTCTGCATGCCAAGGGTGTACCCCACCACCAAATTGTGGTCCCTCCCACCAGTGATGTTCAAATGTTATCTGTGTTATCGGTGTTCTGTGGTTGGTATCTGAAGACAACACCACCCCAAAGACAATTTGTAATTAGTCTTCCATTACTGACCTTTTGTTGCTCAAAGAACTGTCAAGTACGTTCTAAGGTGAACTTCAGGTTGTAGACATAGCACAGTTAAGTTGCCTCCATGCTGCTGGCCCCATTGAAACAGAAGGAGAGATACTGATAGTGTAGGGCATGTAACAACTGGTGGGGATATTTTTATCAGGACTATGGTGCATAGGACATGGTTGTATCAAACCCCAGGTTCAGTTCCCAGCATTTTCAGGTAGGACTGGGAAAGACTCCTCCCTGAAACCCTGGAGAGGCGCTGCCAGTTAATACGAGATGGACCCGGATCAGCCTTTCTCAATCTTGGGTCCACAGATGTTGTTGGACTTCATCTCCCACCAGCCCTGGCCAGTACTGCTAGCTAGGGATGGTGAGAATTGTAGTCCAACAACATCTGGGGACCCAAGGTTGAGAAAGGCTGACCTAGATGGACCAGTGGTTTGATTCAGTATAAGGCAGCTTCTTATGCTCCTATGGGTCAGGGAAGAGCTGTAGCTGAGTGGTAGAGCACATGTTTTGCACGCCAAAGGTCCCAGGTTCAGTCCCTGGAGTCCCTAGGTATGGCTGGGAAATAGTTCCTGTGTGAAATCTTGGAGAGCCACCACCAATCAGTACTAGGCAAGATGGTTCAATGGTATAAGTTGCTATAAGGCAGCTTTTTATTTTCCTCTACCCTTGTGCTGATAGGTTCAATCCAATTGCCCCACCATTGACTGCTTTTTAAAAAATAAACAAACTACAAACTGTGGAAGATCCTATTTGACCAATTTAGAAGAAGAAGAGTTTGGATTTGATATTCCGCCTTTCACTCCCCTTCAGGAGTCTCAAAGCGGCTCACATTCTCCTTTCCCTTCCTCTCCCACAACAAACACTCTGTGAGGTGAGTGAGGCTGAGAGACTTCAAAGAAGTGTGACTGGCCCAAGGTCACCCAGCAGCTGCATGTGGAGGAGCGGAGACGCGAACCCGGTTCCCCAGATTACGAGTCCACCGCTCTTAACCACAACACCACACTGGCTCTCCAAATTTAGCCCTTTGGAGGACACTATCCTGCATTTTGTTTAGGGATTTGAGAGTAATTTGATTCTGTTTGCATTCAGAAGCAAACCTACCCAATGTATACTTTGCAAAACAACACATGAACCAAAATTCACACAACCACCCTGTGAAATTTACACTTTTCCAAATTTTGCAATGCAGTTCTTCAGCCAACTAATGTACATAATTGCATATATTGGGGTAAAATGTGTGTTGAAATGCATATATTTGTGAAAACAGTATACAAAAGTGCATTACAGGAAACTTGATTTGTAAAAAATGTGTATATTGAGCAATATTGCACACACAAATGTGCGTCTTATGAGAAATTCACACTAAAAGGCTGGTGAATTTTCAGAAGGACTTTAAAAGAATCCCAAATTCTTGTGAAAATGTGACAAGCTGAATACTGGACAAATGAGAAAGTGTGAGAAAGCAAAGCTGATGGATATGTCTATCCCTTGTTATGTTATCCTTTCAGCTGCTACATACAAAGTACTAGCAGAAACCAGTGGGGTGACAAGGGCAAAGAGAATGGGAATGTGCCCCTCATTTTAGAATCCCTTTAGTCCCGCTTTAGTCCCCCAACCTTCATGAAAGCCCATGTTTATGACAGCTTACAGGCCCATGGGGGCAAGGAACTAGTGGCCTTCCAGATGACTACATCCCATCATCCCTGACTCTTGGCCATCCTGGATGTGACTTGTGTGAGATCACGGGCTCCCCATCTCTGGCTTACCATTTCAGACAACGATTTGACCCCAAACACTTTCAGCCCATCAAAACCCTCCATTTACTATGGCTAGAGTTCAATCCCCAAAAGTGACCATGTGAATGGAACTTGGATCCTGTGGCTCACGTTAGCAGGGCTTCAAACCAAGTTCTTGTTAATTAATTTCTATACCAGTTATATGGCCAAAATGGCTTCTAAGTGGTTTACAAGTACAAAATCAATTATAAACTATCTATGCATAATTCACACACACACACACACACCCCATAATTAAAATATACAATAAAACAAGCTTGTCAAAAAGCATAACAATTGAAACATTTAAATGAGCGATTAAAATCATTAGATCAGGAAGTTCAAGTTAAGGCTGGACAAGGAGCTGAGATGAAAAGTGCAGTATAGATTTCCAAGCATCCTAAATAAGCCAAATGGTGACATCATCCTGCAGCAAAAAAAATATAAAAAACTTAATAGAAAGGGATATTAATTTACCTACATTTCTATACAGAAGAGGAAGGAGAATGGAAACGAGAGAGTTCGAGTAGTGAAGCTATGAGATGGGATTATGATCTACTGAGCATAACTGTTTGGAGTCCCATAATTAGAATGTCAAAAATTGATGGCTAAGATTTACACAGGGCAGCGCGGAAGGGAAGAGGTAGCATTGCGATGTGCTATTTCAACAGAATGAGCTAAGGCAGCTATATACTTTCATTATGAAGATGGCGTAAAAGCATTGGACACATGGAACTCAGAACCAAGGAGGAAATTATAGATGGGATCAGCTCCAGCCCCTGCAGACTGACGATGAATGATGAGGCTGAAATTTCCCTAGACGGCTAAGTGAGGAATTTAGAAATCACTCGGTGCTTGTTCTCACAAGTGTCTTTAATTGGCTTAAAATGAACCAAATATGCAGAATCAAAAGTGTTTGAAGCTGTGATAAAAAGGCAATGTTATGATTCAGAATATAGAACATCCACCTGGAGGAGAAATCATCCTGCAGTCTGAGAGCATTTACAAGTCTGGTGTGTTACGAATATCACTTTCTGCTGAGCTCCAAAAGTTAAAAGCAGGGCTGGATGAATCCGTCACCTTTGGTTTTTCTCGCATTCTCTTTTTTCCCATTTTAAGTTCCCCATTTTAAGTTAAAAACAAAAACAAAAATCCATGAATATCTGTTTGCATTTTTTGTGGGCATTACTCCTAATATATGCATTTTTGTACACAATTTTGCCTAACCTACATATTTTTGCACACTTCACCTAACATAATGCGATTTTGCATGCTATTTTCTGTATCTGTTTTTGTGCACACTTTCCCTTGATATGCAAGCTTTCATGTGCCTGTTTTGCTTGGAGATTTGCTCTGTAAAATTAGAATTGCAAAATTTGAAGGATAGTTGTATTTTAGATCACACATGGTTTGGGCAGGGCAAATTGGATCGTTTTGCACTTAACTACTAGTTAATAGATTCCTTGAGACAGAAATGAGGGCTCCAATATTCTCTTGGTGAAAAACAGCCTCCATGAATAAAAGAATAGGGGGGCTTGCACACTCAGCACAAATGCCACAAGATCACATTGCATGGTGGGGGGGGGCACACACAAAAAGGCAGATGCGGAGACTAGCTGAAGGCTACTGCACAAGACCAAAATGAGTAGGCTATACCTGCCAACTCTATGGAACTGGGATACCTTGCCCCCCCCAATTCCTCTGGGGGCTCAGCCCCCACAATATTTTTCCCACCCTGTCTGTCCCTTCTTTTCTTGCTTGCTTGATCCTTCCCTCCATGGGGCTTGGCACAGAGCAGCCGAGGAGGACATGGGCAGGTGGGCAAGCCAGCAAAGAAGGCACCTTCCCATGGTGGGGGTAGCAGCCTCTTCGGGGCCCACCCCCCAAATACCATGGTTGCAGCCAGAGCACTGGCTAGAGCACCTGGCCAGCAGGCACTGGCAGCGGGCACAGGAGAGGGAAGGAGGGAGGAGAAGCAGGCAGAGCAAGCAGCCTGACCATGCTGTTGATACCACCAACTATCTGCCTGGGCATGTGCTGTCCCGACTCCTGGCTCAGAAGGAGCTGCTGTGCCACGTCACTGCCACGTTTCACTCCGCTCAATGTCGTAACATCGTCAGGGTGGTGCGCAGAGCCCTCCAATAACTTTAAGAAGATGGCAGCTATGGATGGGACAGGGTTTCATACTGTCCTGTGGTGGAGATGAACAGGGGTGGCTGTCAGGCTTTGGGGAAGCAGCTTCCTCCCCCCCTTTGGCCACAGATAAGCAGAACAAAGTGAAAATACAGTGGTACCTCGGGTTAAGTACTTAATTTGTTCCGGAGGTCCGTTCTTAACCTGAAACTGTTCTTAACCTGAAGCACTACTTTAGCTAATGGGGCCTCCTGCTGCCGCCGCGTCGCCAGAGCACGATTTCTGTTCTCATCCTGAAGCAAAGTTCTTAACTCGAGGTACTATTTCTGGGTTAGTAGAGTCTGTAACCTGAAGCGTATGTAACCTGAGGTACCACTGTATATATACGCAAGTAAGGACCCACAACAGAATGGTGCCGTGTCAGTTCTGCCCAGCTGTTGTCTTCCGAACTATGCCCCTCTGCAAACCACTGCTCCAAATCTATACTGCTCCACTGTTCCTGGGCAGCTTCAGGATCCTGGTCAGGAGCGGGGGGGGGGGGAGGGAGGCTCCTCATCAGAGTAGCTCTCCTCAGCTTGGTCTCTGACAGTGGCCTTCTGAATTCAAATGGAAACCTGCATGAGGACTCTCTGACGGTGCACAGCAAACGAATGTGTCTGAGCCCTCCCAGTGTGGAATTTATGGAGCATCTAGATCCCAAAGCCTATGCTGCCACTGTGTGTGTCTTTTCTGAGGATAGTATTTTCTGATGGGAGCATGCATCTGCATACCAGGTGCTAGGAATCACAGGTGGGGAGAATGTTTTTACACTCAGGTTCTGCTTGGGGGCTTCCCATAGGCATCTGGTTAGCCACTGTGAGAACGGGGCGGGTATCCAATTAACATGTTCCATCAGCACAAGGATTTCTGCTTGCAGAACTGAAAACAACAACACCCCTTCTGTGCCCTCCCCATGCCCCCCTCAGATCTGCCCTGGAGAGTTGGAGAACCTGTTCCTTATTCCTTTTTGTATCACATCTTGTTATATTAGGAGCCTGCAGTCAGGGACTGCTTTAGTTTTCCATATACATACTTTATAACACTTGGAAAATATTGGGCACTTTATAAGAGTTTAGCAGCAGCAACAACAATAGCAATTCAAATCAATAATTATAAGAATTGTGGTAAATAGTATTTGTGAAGTTCGTAACTATGTAAGGCATACAAAGGACTTCCAGCACTTGAGTTCTATATAAACGTTCAGTTATTCTCCCCCTCCTCCTCTAAGATGATATGTTCTTCATGTTAAGTGTTACCCATCATGCTGCTTGTTTGACAGCTTGGATCAGGCCTCAGACACTTGATGAAGAGAGGCATTTATTTCATGAAAATGGAGGGGAGGCCCAGGTCAGAGGATGAGCACATGTCTTCTGCATGCAAAGGTTCCAAGTTTGTTCATGCTTCCTCTTTCTTTTTGCTTAATAGATAATGGCTCGGTCAGAAGAGCAAGAGACTCTTAATCCCAGGGCTGTGGGTTCAATCCCACATTGGATGAAAGATTGCTGGATTGCTGGGGGTTAGACTAGATGAGCTTTGTGGCCCTATCCAACTCTAGAATTGTACAATTCTATTATTATTCTTTCTCCTTTCAGACCAACATTGTCTCCCAGTCCCTGGCATCTCCCATGTGAAAAGGATCAGGTAGTAGGGGATATGGAGGACCCCACCCCACCCTGCACAAACACATCTGACACCCCAGAGAGCCACTGCCAGTCACAGTACTGGGCCACCTAGACCAAATGTCTGACCTGGTACACAGCAGCTTCCTATGATTCTATCTTCTCAGAAATGGAATAGCACCAGAATTTGTTGGTGCCTTCCTGTCTGGGGACAGTAAGATCACGAGCGAAGATTCCCATAACAGAGGAGGGCTCTAATAACTGATAAAGGACGATCCTGGAGGAGCTGGTTTTCATAACCTCCTTACTGGAACTCGCTCATATTAGGAGACGAGATATAAAAACTTCCTTTTGCAGGACTCAGCCTGCCTCCATCCTGGGCTGAGTGAGACCCAGCAGCTCAGCCCCACCCTAACCCTAGGTAAAGGTAAAGGTACCCCTGCCCGTACAGGCCAGTCTTGACAGACTCTAGGGTTGTGCGCCCATCTCACTCAAGAGGCCGGGGGCCAGCGCTGTCCGAAGACACTTCCGGGTCACGTGGCCAGCGTGACGAAGCTGCTCTGGCGAGCCAGAGCCGCACACGGAAACGCCGTTTACCTTCCCGCTAGTAAGCGGTCCCTATTTATCTACTTGCACCCAGGGGTGCTTTCGAACTGCTAGGTTGGCAGGCGCTGGGACCGGGCAACGGGAGCGCACCCCGCCGCGGGGATTCGAACCGCCAACCTTTCGATCGGCAAGCCCTAGGCGCTGAGGCTTTTACCCACAGTGCCACCCGCGTCCCGACCCTAACCCTAACCCTAAACCGAGATGAATCCCTTTATTCCCTCAACCTTCATGGAAGCCCATGTTTATGACAGCTTACAAGCCCAGAGAGGCTCTCTTCTAGAGAGACAGCTTACAAGCTGAGATAGGATGTTAGGCTAGTTCAGCTTCAGTGAACTACTGAGAATTTACCCCTGAGAAGGTGCTTAATTTCTGAAGTGAGGTTTGTTGAGGATCAAGCTTGCCTGGATGTTGCACCTTCTACTCTGCACACAACACCTTGTTCCCGATCTCATCTGAGTGGTGGGAGATGACTGTATTTATTCCGTGACTGGGGGGGGGGAGCAGTTTGCACATGCATAAAGGTAAAGGTAAAGGGAGCCCTGACCATTAGGTCCAGTCGTGACCGGCTATGGGGTTGCGGCACTCATCTCGCTTTATTGGCTGAGGGAGCCGGCGTACAGCTTCTGGGTCATGTGGCCAGCATGACTAAGCCGCTTCTGGCGAACCAGAGCAGTGCAAGGAAACGCCATTTACCTTCCCGCCGGAGCGGTGCCTATTTATCTACTTGCACTTTGACGTGCTTTCGAATTGCTAGGTTGGCAGGAGCTGGGACCGAGCAATGGGAGCTCACCCTGTCACGGGGATTCGAACCACCAACCTTCTGATCGGCAAGTCCTAGGCTCTGTGGTTTAACCCACAGCGCCACCTGCATCCCTTTGCACATGCATAAAGGAGCTCTATTCCCCCCCTTTTTTTTTGCTCTTTCAGTTGTTCCTTGAGTTGAGACAAAGCAATAAAAACAGCTGTGGAACTAGCTGGCACCTCTATGACACTCCATGCGATGCTGCAGGCAATTATGGGGAGGGCAGAAGACAGCGATATCAATTCTGGGGGACTTGGAAATAATAGGAAGCTCATCGACCTCTGGATAACTAGGATCTTCACTTGTGGATAAGCATGGATGAAGTTGTTGACTTCAGTTTTTCATTTTCCCAATCTTTAAGTTCAGTTTGCTAGGCTTCCTCATCAGTTTGCTTTTTTAAAAAAAGTACAAGAATTCATTAGCATTTTAACATTTCTTCTAATGAACCAATTTTAATGCAATCTAGACAATTTCTGTAATTTTCCCCAATTTGATGCATATCTGTATGTTATTTTCCCTGATATACATGCATTTTTGTGCACTTTCCCCATGAATACTATAGCAATGGGTACATTATTTGCTTGGAGAGCTGCGCCACAAAAGTTTTAAGAGAACTGCAGATTTCAAAGTTGTGTTTCAGGTCATCTATTGTTTTGGGAAATATGGACTAGGCGGTTTTCATTAAAATATGAAGTGAACTGCATCCCCCCCCCCCCATCCCCACTCTGAAGAAGCAATATTTTCTTCATTATTACTTCCTGGAGAAATCCCAGACTTTCCTGAGGGCACAACTGTGTGAGATGATGCTTTCCTACTCTTTCCAGAACGCCCCTTGTGGCTTCTATCCTGATTATTTCTCTGCGGGATGTCAATAGCCGGCACAGAGTTGACACCAGCCTTAGATGAGGGGCCCGACCACATCAGACTGGTAGGAGTCAGGTGTGAATTATGCACTGTGCAGTGAAAGTGGATAGAGATAAGTTTTTCTCCCACTCATAATACTAGAATTTGGGGGGCATGTCATCCAATGAAAGTGATCAGAAAGAGTTTTAGGGCAGGCAAAAGGAAATTCTTCACCCAGAACATCATGCATTTATAGAATTGGTTGCCACCAGATTCTAGTAGCATGTTGTTGTTGTTTAGTCATTTAGTCGTGTCCGACTCTTTGTGACCCCATGGACCAGAGCACGCCAGTCACTCCTGTCTTCCACTGCCTCCCGCAGTTTGGTCAAACTCATGCTGGTAGCTTCGAGGACACTATCCAACCATCTCGTCCTCTGTCATCCCCTTCTCCTTGTGCCCTCCATCTTTCCCAACATCAGGGTCTTTTCCAGGGAGTCTTCTCTTCTCATGAGGTGGCCAAAGTATTGGAGTCTCAGCTTCAGGATCTGTCCTTCCAGTGTGCACTCAGGGCTGATTTCCTTCAGAATGGATAGGTTTGATCTTCTTGCTGTCCATTGGACTTTCAAGAGTCTCCTCCAGCACCATAATTCAAAAGCATCAATTCTTTGGCGATCAGCCTTCTTTATGGTCCAGCTCTCACTTCCATACATCACTACTGGGAAAACCATAGCTTTAACTATACGGACCTTTGTTGGCAAGGTGATGTTTCTGCTTTTTAAGATGCTGTCTAGTAGCATAGGGAGCTTCAAATTCAAGGTTAGGTCTACCAACCTTTCAAGTTCAAAGGGGGCTTCTCAGAGGCATTTAGTTGGCCACTATGGGAAATACCATGTTGGGCTAGATTGGGGAGGGGGGAGGAATCCTGTGGCTCTCCAGATGTGGCTGGAGTTCAGCTCCGTCACCCCAACCATTGGCCATGCTGGGTGGGAAGATGGGAGTTGGAATCTAGAAATATCTGGAAGGCCACAAGTTCCTCATCCCTGGGCTGGATGGACCTTTGGCCTGATCCAGAAATGTTTCAATGTCCTTCTACATCTGAGTTGTATGACACTCTATAACTCACCCTGAAGGCAACACCTTGAGAACTTTTGAGCAATTCTCCTTATTTTACAACACCAGTTTCTTTATCAGAGGTGGGGAACCTGTGGTCATCCAATTACTGATACCATACAGCCTGAGTCCATCTTTCCAAAGGGGAAAGGGTCTCTGTCCTCAACCCCTGCACACCAATTCTGTTACTAGGCTCCATCTCCCATCATCCCTAATCCGTGGTCATGCTGGTTAGGACTAGTGTGAGCTGAGAGTCCAACAACATCTGGAGGACCAAAGGTTCTCCATTCCTATTCTATACAATGGTGCTATTGATTTAAATAATCTTACTCTTCCCTGCTCTTTCCTAAGACATATTTCAGGTGGATTGCCCCACCCCAAGGTCAATTGCAAGGGAATGGTGGAATCACCTCCATTCCTGCATCGTTAGCATTGGCAAGCCCCTAATTTTCATTCATGTGGGGCTCCAGTAAGCCAGGCACCTCGATTTAATGCCGAAATCACTCCTCTTTATACCTGGAGGCTGGTGCTCTCTGTTAATTTAGTAACAGATTTGCATTTTTATCACTTTCTTGGCTTAACTGATGAACATTAATTCCCTGCAAGTTTCTACAATTGCTGGATACTTAATTATTTGGCCGAAACCTTCTGCAGAGAGAACCTCGTGCTATAAAAATGGCAATTTCCATCTTGATCTATTTTAGTACTTTTCAGAAGAAAAGAGGGGGGGGGGAGAGAGAGAGAAAAGAAAGAAAGAAAGAAGCAGGATTGATCCCTGAAGCAGCTCCTGGCCTGCGACTCGGTGGCAGAATAAGAAGAATGGGTGAATAATCTGTCTGATTTCTTTAGCTGACGAATGTCAGTTCCATTTTTATATTCAAGTCTGTCGACATTGCAACAGATTTCATCTTTGCCTTTCGTTCATCAACAGCTATTCTGTTCCTTTCCATCACTCTTGCAGGCTCCCCCCCCCCATTTGAAATGGGAAAAGAGGCTGATGGGGGGCGGGGGGGGGGATGAAAATTTGCGCAGAAACTGATTTTCTTTTCGCTCTTCCAGAAACTGAAAACCTGGGTGATTGGTATTTATCACAAGGCAGGAATCTTAAGTCTGCATTAGATACTGTTACAGAGAGGTACATAAAAGATAGTTATATCATTTGCTAGGGCAAAGCCTGCCGGGCTTCTTCTAAGGGGTTAAAGGTCACATGAACAGTGGTGACACGTTTAAAAAGTAATAGCATTGCTTAAAAGAGGATTAATCAAGTGTAGAACTACACCCCTCCCCCCCCAAAAATATTGAGAGATGGTACCTGCTGACCAAGCGCTGACCTCAGCTTAGCACAGGCTGAGACTTGAGTTGAAAGAAGTGTATCTTGAGATGGAAGAGAAGGGCAGTCCACACACAGAGGACAGAAGGTTCACAAGGGCCTGGGGGCATTGTGTGTGTGAGAGAGGAGGCTACTTGTCATAACCTGGAAAAATCTTGGTGTTTATATTAAACTGCATCACCTCGAAATGTCCTGATAGCAGCGGAGATATTGAAGGGGAGGAGAAGGCTCAGAAATGACGACTATAATGGTGATAATTTGATTACCCACCCTTTAGCCTGAAGTGCCAGGGCTTCTGAGAATGCAATTTTTGTATCCTTTCATGCTTCTACAATTAGTGCAGGTGGCAGAGTCCAAAAGAGACAATGCTTGCTCCTTAAAACTCCTACATCACTTGGTATCCCCTCCTCTTTGAGTCTTTCACTTCCATTTAAAAGAGCACATTGCAAAATCAGCCGCAAGGGAGCTTGCTACCCAGATTCTGATGGCGGCCTGGAGTGTGCGAACTGCGAACATTAATGCATATTTTCAAATCAAATGCACATTCTCACCTGATTTCTCTTCTTTCTGGAAACCCCCAACCAATTTAGCTGTCATTTATGCAAGACTTGAGAGTTGACAGTTTAGCTTTGGTGTGTATACATGTGTTTAATTTGTGCATCTCCCTGGCATGGCACAACCACAGTCATAATAACTTAAAAAAGGGGGGGGAGGTGTGTGTGTCTGGTTTATTGACATGCAAATCTTATATGTGACCATAGGAGAAGGCAGCTTTTTAATTACCTGGGTGGTGATGGGGTTGGGGCAGGGTCCCAGGCCTGCCCTTAATGAGATTTTGCACAAGTTAGAAGATGACACTTGCCAGCTCATTAGCTGTGGTTTCTCTTCATCAGAATCACCAGGTCTGCAGGGCAAGTGGGTACTTGCGTCCCGGTTTGATTTGTTTCTGTTTCTGCAAGGACAAAAACAAATGGCTTCATATCACAGGGAAGGTCAATTTAGGCCAAACATTCACCACAACCTCCCGAACTATACAAGTGATCCATGGAGCAATATTATCAAACCAGCTGAAGAAGTTGGGGAAACTCTTTTCTCCTTGCCCCCAGAAATTTCAAAGGGGAAAAAAACAAGTCAGGTGCATAGATGTAGGTTTTGTAAAGCCAATTGGTCATTGCAAGAAGAGCACATTCATCTTCCCCCGAGGTATGAATTTAATAAGATGCCTTGTGGTGATCCAGGCTATTGGTCCAGCTACCTTGGAACTAGCTGTACTTGCTGGCAACAGCGGCTATGCAGGTCTCAGGCAGAGGTCACTTTTATACCTGGTACCTGATATTCTGTGAAGGGAAAATGCTGAGTAGAAAATACTCAGCAGTGAACTGGACGCTGAACAGGATGAAGCTGGGTGGGATCTTTTGCTTGTGAAGTATCCATTATTGGACTATGGCCTCTCCATCTGCTTTATCCTAACTTAAATGCAGTATAGGGACGTGGGTGGTCCTGTGGGTTAAACCACTGAGCCTGGGACTTGCTGATCAGAAGGTTGGCGGTTCGAATCCCCGCAACGGGGTGAGCTCCCGTTGCTCGGTCCCTGCTCCTGCCAACCTAGCAGTTTGAAGCACCTCAAAGTGCAAGTAGATAAATAAATAGGTACCGCTCCGGCAGGTAGGTAAACGACATTTCTCTGCGCTGCTCTGGTTCAACAGAAGCGACTTAGTCATGCTGGCCACATGACCTGGAAGCTGTACGCCGGCTCCCTTGGCCAATAAAGCGAGATGAGCGCCGCAACCCCAGAGTCGTCCGCGACTGGACCTAATGGTCAGGGGTCCCTTTACCTTTAGCAACTCTCAGCACTCAGGATTCTTTGGAGGAGGACATGACCAGAGGCACCAACTTGCGCCAAAGATTAGGGGAGCCAGCGTTGTGTGTGTGACATCACACACTTGTTGCACATCACGTGACATCACATCAACATGTCTGGAGGAGCTGCAGCAGAGCCGAATGCAGTGCCAGCATGGCTTCAACGGCTGACAGCCCTTCTTCTCTGGTGCTTGGCCTCTTCCTGCTCTTGCTGTTGCCATTGCGGGGCCCAAAAGAGCTTGGCTCTTAGGACACGGCACCCCTGGCCATGACTACTTAAAGTGGTATGAAACTGTTTTAACCGTATAGTGCAGATGGTTGCAGTGAAATCAACCATCTGAGAAAATGGGCTTTGGTCCATTTGAAGCTCATACAGTGGTACCTCTGGATGTGAACGGGATCCGTTCCAGAGCCCCGTTCACATCCTGAAGCAAACACAACCTGCGTCTGCCTGTCTGCGCGTGTGCAGGTCACGATTCGCCACTTCAGCGCATGCACGTGATGCCCTTTTAAGCGTTTGCGAATGCGTGAGCAGCGAAACCCGGAAGTAACGCGTCACTGCGGAGCGCAACCCGAAAATGCTCAACCTGAAGCAACTTCAACACGAGGTATGACTGTACCATAATACATCTGTTACGTCTTTATGGTGTCCATAATCATGATAGCTGTCAAAGGCACAGAAGGTATCTTGCTATCTCCATGTGATGCTAGAGATAATGGGATCATAAGGCCTGGATCCTGACTAAGTTAGCTGAACTCAGGTTCAACTAATATTGGGCTCAGGGGCAGAGGAAGGGGGGCGGTGGGGGCGGGCTGCCCTGGGTGTTACCACTGAGGGCAGTGACAAAATGCTGGGTGGCACTCACAGTGCCCGAGCCACACGTCTCTTCTGGTAGTGACGCGGTGGCTTGGACACCCACAGGCTCCGTGCTGCCCCAAATGGTCTGCCCACCACATCCCCCTCAGCTGTAGGACGGCTGAGTGGGAGGAGGTAGGCAGACTCCTCGGAGGCCCCACAGAGCATCCTGCCCTGGTTCGCCCTGCCCCGCGGGTGGCTGGTCCTGCCCCTGGGCACAGGGCATGCGCTCCACCCCAGGTGCCTGCTTGGCTTGCTCCGCCGCTGATTGGGCTGTGGCCAACTAGCCTCCACAGTAGACCCTTTGAAAATAAAGAACCTAACTGACTCATGCCTATTAACTTCAGTGGGTCTACTCTAAATAGGACTGGCATTGGATACAACTCTTGGTCTGGATCCATGCCATAGCTCTCATGGGTATTTTCTTATAATAAGCATATTCCTTTAAAAAGAGTCTTATGACACTGAACAGTCGGAGCATTTATTCTGATATACGCAATTGTAAACTGATGAAAAGGTCTCTTGTCCTTGAAAGCTTTTTGCACACTTGCCTTTTAAGATGCTTTTTTTAGTATTTGCTTTAGCAGACTTCATCCATAGAACTTCACCTCTAGAATTCATTTTTCTATTTCTTACATTGGTGGAGTGTGTGTAAAGAAGCTGACATCTTTCAGTGGCTTCCCTAATCCTTGTCTGTGGACTGACGGTGACAGCTTCAGCAGTCATGTTGCAAGGACCACTTTTTGCTCCTGGTTTTGCTAATTCAGCACTAAACCAGAAGCATAGCAAATGCAAGATGCTGCCGCAGGGCTAACCTCTGCAGAGGGTTTAAGTTAGGGTTCACCAAGCAGGCCCCATCTCCAGAATCGACTTTCGCATACCTAGATCATGCAAAATAAGGAAGAATCAGCGCCATCGGTTAACATTATTTATAAAAGCAACTAAAGTCTGGAACACCCTGTCCTAAGGCAAAATGAAGACTATCTCACCTGTGGACTGAAAGAGTCTTTCAATATACACAGAGTGCATTTCTTTAATCCATTACAAAGTTCACAGGCCACATATCTGGAATTGGAGGGCACGGCTGCCAAATCAAAGGGCTTGGCTTGTCATAGCACCTCTCCTTTGCTGCATTAGGGAATAATAACAACAGCTTTCTCTGCTGAATGCTAAGCAGTGTAGTCTGCCACCTAGACTGGTTGCACCGAATGAGCAAAATAAATCCACCCAATGTCTTTAGAGTCTCTGCACCTACCCAAGGGGAGCATTTTTTTTCAGGCTGCATCCCATGTGTCACTTTTCCTCCACGGGCATACAGTGACGTAGGAAAACACCTATATACACTGCCATCCTTCCATGTAGACGCTCACAGTGAAAAATGGGGGTCAAGTGGAGAGTGGAATTGAGGTCACAGCCATATTCCTCCTATCCATCTCCACACCTTCAGCTGAAGATGTGTACTAGGTCCATCCCACGTCTAAGTCGTACACCTGTGGGCTCTTTATGCGCAGTTAGGAACCTTGTTCTGGACATTATATTAAAAGTGGATTGTGTATGGACAGGAGAGGGCAGGATCAAGCCTTGCTCCCCATGTTTTGGCTTAATGTGTGATGAATAAACTTGTGTGTGTGCAAACTGCACATGTGACAAGGACCCTCCCTTTTCCAGGGTATCATGAAGAGAAAGCTCAATTATGTGCAAGGGTTCTTTAGGTGAACCAGTGGAGGTCAGGTGCAAGTGTAACAGGTGTGATCCTAGCTATCCCACACACGTGCACACTGAACGTCTGGATGGTGAAAGCTCACTTTTCTCCAGCTTCCAATTAGTGAACTACAAACAGTTCTCTCCGTGGGTGAGAGAGTAGAACAGAAGCAGCAAACCCTTAGTCGGACTCGTCCTCAGGTTCGCACGTAGGTCGGGGGCGGACCCTGCTGCCGCGTTGCCCCTCCCACCTCCCTGCGTTTGCTCTAACACGGGCAGAACACGCACCCTGCCTTCTCACATGACGACGGTGCACGCTAGCGGAGGCGTTTCCCTTACTTCTCATACACGCGTGTAGCAAGAACATTACTGTACCAGGCGGACAACCGAGGACCCCAACGGCTTGTGCTTATTTCGTGCGTCGTAACTGCCCTTGCGCCCCGAGCGGGTTCCAGATTCAAATCGAGTTGAATCGCGTTGGCTGGCGACTTGATCCGGCGTGTGCCAGCGAGAGCGCTCCCCCCCTGCCCGTCCGTGGGGCGACAGGGGCGGGGAGCAGCTCGGCAAGCGCGTCCCTCCGGCGTGGCTGCTGGCGCCGTAGCCAAACCTCGCCCGCCTCCCATCCCGTTCGACCGCAGCCAACTCCTCTCGACCCGCGCGTTCTCCGGGCGAGGCGGGTTGGCGTCTCTTTCAGCCGCCGCTGGGGGAACCAGCAGCCTGACAAAGGGGCCGGGGCAGCGGAGTTGAAGCAAGTTCCACGGCGTGGCGGCTTCTCGGCTATCGCGCCCGGGCGAGCAAGACACCAGCCAGGCGTCCGGAGCAACCTCAGCATCAGCAACGTGCTTGCTCCGCCGGGAGTCGCTCCAGAAGTGCTGCGCTCGCCCGTGCACAAACGGCGCCTCGGAGTTGCTTTCCCCAAAGTGCCGGAGCCTGCCCGGATCGCGTGCCTCTCCCTCTCCCCACCCCTCCCCTGCTGAACCCGAGGACCGCCTCCCTCCCCTCTCGCCACGGCTGGGGGCAGGTCCCCGGAGCCGACCCGCCCCCCTGCTGGGGAGCCGCCGCGAAAAGGATTCCGCTCTCCTCTGCTGGATGCGTCCCTGGAGGAGCTGAGCCATGCGGCGGCGGCTCCCGCTTTGGCTCCGGAGCTTCCTGTGCTTCTTGCCGGCCTTGGTGGGACCCGCTGCAGGTAAGATGCGCTTCGCTCCCAGCGCCTGATCTGAAGGTCTCCTGTTATTACTCCACCCCCCCTTACACCCCCCCTCCCAAAAAAAGAGCTCTCGGGAGAGACCGCAGCTCCGGAGCTCCCCGTCGTCTAAGGGAAAGCGCAGTTTCTGGGCACAGCTGGGCAGGAAAGTAGCATTCAGAGGCGCACGATCCGGATGCGTTTGGTTTCCTTTCTTTTGGAGACGGGTTCCTTGTTGCCCGGGGATCCTGCGTTGGTCTAGGGAAAGCTCAGTGCGCCACAGTTCTGGAGTTTGGTGGGTCTCTAGTTGCAATTGTATTAGATCTTTTCGCTCCGGAAATCTGGGGGCAGGGAAACACCGAGGGAGGTGCCCAAAGGCTCCGGGCGAATCTCTGGCACCCGCTGGAGTAAATGGAGAGCCATGCTTTGGCGGTGGCAGTTTCAAGTCTAGATGAAAAGGCAAAAGGGGTTGGTTGATGTTGGTGAGATAACGACCCTATGAAAGGATGATAAAGGGAAGCGGACAAGAGGGCATTAGGGTCTGGGCAGCCTGGGAAGGGGGTCCTCTTTTTTCACTGTGTCCCCCTTCCTCCCTGCCCCATCCTTGTCTTTGTGAGTTTGTCCAGAGTCTGTGTTAGACCACCAATCCTGACCCACTGCGTTTCACTTCGTAGATCATTCCTTTTACAGAGCATTTGTCTGTGTAGGAAGATTGGAGTGAAACACGTGCGCATTCTCATGAAAGCCCGTTTGTAGTTTCCCATTCTTTTTGTGCATGCGCTGCGTACAACATGCCGGGATGCTACATTTATTTTTATTTTTCCTTCTGGTGCACGTTCGATCCACAGCAAAATGTATGCACCTGCAGTGGTTGCGCTTTCCCTGTCCGAAAGGTGTAAGATGCAAAAATGTGGTGTGCATGTACTCCCCAATGCGCAGCTGCCACGTTGTGGAGTCGCCTCCCCCTTCCATGTCACCCAGAATTGAGCACTCGGCCTGCGTGCGGAGAGATCCAGCCTCACCCAGAGGCTCTTCCGCTTTGCACTTTCCATTGAGGTAACAGATGGGCCCAAGTGTGATAAAAAGAAGTGCACACAAGGGGATGCGACTGGGTAGAGGCTAGCTTCAGAGAAGAGGCTGTCAGCTGGAGGGTGACTGACCTTTCAGATCCCTGACAATTGAAGGCTCCAGGCCTCCCCTGGCTTGGGGTTCGCACACAGCTTGCCTTAGCAAGATTTGTACCAGTCCCTCTCTCTGTGGCCAGAGACAGCGCTACGGTTTTCTGTATGCTCTTAATTTGCTTCCTACCAAAGCCCTTAGCAGTCTTTCCCCCCCTTTTCTGTGCGTGTGCGGAAACAAAAATCTTCAGGCCACAAACTCTCCCAGAATCTGTCCACTAGAGGAGGCATCAAGACACACTTTGGAAAAGGATGCAGCAGCCCAAGGCAGGAGCTGGAGCCATTGCATGTGTCGGTTTTAAAGCAAAATCTAAAGCTGCAAAACATGCAGCACTGGAAATAATAATAACCCATCTTTATTTACCATGGAGGGAAAGTGAGGGTTTTATTTTTTTTAAGTGCTTTAAATTATGGGGCTGTAAAGTGTTTCTGTTTAGAATTTAGGCAGATTTGGTGGGTGGGTTGGGGGCTGGGAGCTGAGTTCCAGCTCTTTAGGAGTGAACAAAAAAGAGTTTCAACATCCCTCTGACCACCCCAATCTGAATTTCGTTTACAGATGTGATTTTTGTCCCCGAAACTTGAAAGGTGATCAGTTTGAGGCTAGTTCTCTCCTGGAGGGTAGGGTGGAAAAGACAAGAATGGTGAGATTCCTAGAATTTTATTTTTAGGTTACCCTCCCCCCCCCAAAAAAAAATATTACTTGACCATCCCATGCCTTGGTGGCAATTTAAGAAGCAACCACTGACAGTATATTCTTGTTGGCGAGGAGCAGAGAGTTCCGTTGAGTGTGGGGCTGTGGACAAGGGTCTCAACCTAGGTTCCTTTTACTACATTGAATGCTATCAAATCTGTGGATGTTGCATGCCAGTTAGTTCCCTCGCAACTGGCTGTTCACAATCTCCTGTACGGTGAACATTGAAGGAATGACTTAGTCTGAATGACAATGGCTGCTGAAGGATAATGCCAAGTGAAAGGCGTGATGGATTCACATTTGCAATGTGTGTTGTTTTTTTTTGGGGGGGGGAGAATGTGACTGATTTTTCATTGCATGTTGCTTCCAGCTGAGAGCAGGCGCTGACAACAGGATCGGAGGGAATATGCTGCTCCTGCAAGCAGGGCTGTCGATTAGCTGTGTGTCTGTTGTTAGATCAGCAAACAGGAGCCTGTACTGCTTCATTAATATTTGCGTGTGTGGAGAGAGGAAGCTGAGTAGACTCCCAAAATGAATAAAGTGTAGGGTTGTGTTTTTTTAAAAAAAGAATTAAACCTGTTGGAAGGTTGCTGACCCCTGGCTTAAACCAAAAACTCTGTGACCTTTGGTGTGGTATTCTTTTATATATATATATATATATATATATATATATATATATATATATATCTGGTATTTCAACACTATTCTTAGGGTAAGATCAGAATCAGATATTTTTGGCCTTGCAGGAAGCATGTGCAAGATAAACTGTGGATGTCAGAAACTCACAGTGCAATCCTAGGTACTTTTACTCAGAAGTAAGCTCGTAGTGTATTGAATGAGAATTTTCTTCCAGGAAAGTGTGTGTAGGACTGGAGCATAAAACCATAAATCTAGACATACTTTCTTTGGAGCAAGCCCTATTGAACCCGGTGTGGTTTGGTTCCAAATAAACATACATAGCTATGCCTTTTTGCATACTGTAGCTAACGCCTTGCACAGCTCTTTCTGTCTGAGTGTGCCTTGTTCTGCTGTGGAAACTTCATTGCACATTGGAGCACCTCGCAGGATGGCCTAGGTTGGCTGGAATGTGCATTTGCAGATGTGAAAACAGGATGCCTTCAGGAAGTCCGAAGAATTTTCTTCCACCCATAAGCCTCTGTCAGAAAGCTTTAGAGGGGAAGAATTATGACAGGGGCTTTCGGAACAAGTCTTCAATGAGTCGCTTGAGACTGGCTATGTGTGTGCATGTTGATTTTCTTATGCTGCCTGCCATGCTATCCTGACCCCAAAGAAGGTTAAAAGGGATTGGATGCAGTGTGGATGTGTGCTTTGTTTGTCAATGCAATTGGATGCTGGTGTCAAATTATTGGGGTGTGCCTGAGTCTTGAAGTTCTTAATATTCAGTGATCACTGGTTTTTAGGTTGCTGGGTGTACTTTGGCCGACTTTTTCCATTTGCAAGCCAGATTGTCCAGTGGTAGCCAATGTGGTACCTTCAAATGACGATGGCCTAAAACTCCCATCATCTCTGAGTGTTGACCACGTTGGCTGGGGCTAATGAGAAAATGTAGTCACATTTAGAATGTGTCAAGTTGGCTATCCTTGGTTAAGCGGTAAGTATCAAGGATGCATTTCAGGTCTGTGTGAAGACTGAATAACAAGGCAAGTCAGGGTGATTTGTGGGGTCCCCCCAAGTCAAAGTGCAATGGCAATATGCCACCCCAAGTCAGACTGGAGCCCCTGCAAAACCTCGTTTTTCTCTGTTTCTTTGCTATATTGTCTATATATCTGTGTTTCTCTAGGTCCATGGGTTCTGCAAGAATTGAGACTGTCCAAAATGTTGCCTGTAGAGCACTGAAGAGCTCTGAATTGTGCTTTGTTAAAGCACAGCAGTGGAGTTTTTTTAATAAAAGAGTTGAAAGCATCATTTTTGTTTTAAGAAAACAAAAAACAGCACCATCCTAGAATTCTTCAGAACTCTGCTGGCAGCATTCTACTCAGCCTTGCATTGTAAGGCCTATCAGAGACCTGATAAAGCCTCGAGGGAGGCCTGTAAAGGCCTATCGGAAGACACAAACAGCCACCAGAAAGAAAGGTGGATGTGAAGCTGCAGAGTTTTAAAAATGTACAAGCAAGAATGCACACCACTTGGTCACTGCTTAATTATTTTAAGGTGAGAAAGAGACAAACCCATGTGCCCCACACCCAGAAAGGATTATGGAGGAAGTGAATCACTTTTATTTCCCTCACAAAGGGCCCCTATATCTATTTCTCCACAATTTTCCAGGCTTAGTCCACTCTGGAGAGATTCCCCTACCTGTAAATTTCATCCACTCTGGCCAAAAGGAGAAAAAAGGTAGTCATTTTGCAATTCCCCATTATAGTGAATGGGAACCAAGGGCTTTGTTTGTTTGTTTGTTTTGTAAAGACAGAGCAGCTCAGAATATGAAATATCAAAGTGGAGAGAACATAGA